AGTCTCGGTGGGAGGCCCCCCCACAGGCACCAGTCATGGGCCTGGGGACAGGTAAAAACCAGAGTCTGCTGTTCCCAGATAACAGTCTCCTCCTGGGGACCTCCGCCTTGCCTCCCACCACTGCCAAGTCCCACCTCTCCCTGTGGCTTGGAAAACAATCTGGGGCACTTGGGGGTGGGGTGCGGAGCCAGGGCCGAGCAACTTCACCAGGCAGCCTCCAGCTTCCCCACAGATGCCTGGAGAGGATGGTGTCTGACCCACTTTGAGGGGAACACACAGACAGAAGAGAGCTTGGCGTCTGCTCTGAATCCACAAGCAGAGAGGAGCGAGCCCTGTGGGTCCTAGACAGCCCAGACCCGGCCAGGGCAGCTATGCTCCACAGCAGCCTTTATTAGAAAGAATCTGGTTTTAATAACACCAAGTGGGCACCTCGAGCTGAGCCGGCTGTTCAGATCCCCAAGCGGGAGGTACCTGCATGAGCCTGTGGGAATGTACGTAATGGGACCGAAGTAATGATGCCTCTGTGGCCCCTTCCAGCCTGAGAGCCCTGTGCTGGACATCCAGGGTGGGAGCAGCCGACAGGCATGGGACTGCGTGCTTAAGGCTCAGGACCTGAGGCCATGGCTGCGTGGCCCGTGCCAGCAGGACGGTGCTTTGGCTGCCTCTCTCCTGTGTCCTGGTCCACTTGCGGCTGGCAGGGCTGGGGGCTCTAGAGGAGCTCTCTGCCATCCAGGAGATGGGCTGCTTCCCATTTTCCACAGGGTGAGCTTCCCCCAAGGTGGTAGGGTGCAGGCTGGGGGTAGAGGGAGGGGTCCCCTCCCTGTGTGTCCTGAGGGACCACAGCGCGGGCGTGGCGAGGGGAGGCTGCATGGATCTCAGCTTGGGCACCCAGTATGGACACCTTGCACCACCACTGTTCCTGGACTGAGTGGCTGAGGCTGTGTCCCTGACCTCCTGGCTGGCGTCTAGAGAGGCTCAGCGTGAGGCTTCTTCTGGATGCAACAGCCAGCTGAGTTGACAATGATGTTGATTCTCGCCGTGGTTCCTCCTGCAGCCTCAAACTGCTCTACGGGGCTTGTTCTCTTGTACGAGACACCGTCTGACCCACGCATCAAAGGGAACAAGGTGAGGGGTGCAGGGTGGCAACCAGAAAGTGCAGCCCCAGTCACCACAGCCAAAGCCCTCTGCTCAGACACTTAGGGCTGATCTGGCATGGCTGCCTGGGGGAGCTGGCTGGAAGACCAAGGGGGCGACACCTGAACTGCTAACGCTCTCACTTGCGGGGGACAGCAAACTGAGACTGTCCTTGCACATGTGAATTCAGAGGCATCCGAAATCCAGATATCCCAAACCGATCAGAATCAACACTGACACCTGCCATTCACATTTCGACATTTTTCCTGGACAAGTGGCTATTTGCAAAATCCCTTAACCCATTAAAGTCCCATTCTGGCAGCACAAGGGGCCTGGCCTGAGGCTCCTCGGGAGAGCTCGGGGGCCTGCAATCTCCCCGGCCTCATTTCAACAGATGGCAGAACAAATTCCTAATTAAGCACGAGAAAGTTTCCGGCTCAGCACATTTATTCATGATTTTCCGGTCCCTTTGGTGCTCATTCTTCCCCTTTGTCTTCCTGGAACCCAAGCCAGCTTATTGCCACCCTGAGCTCCCTACTTGGCTCTTGGAAAGGCGCAGCCCTAATCTGGGGAGAGGGAAGAGGAAGGCATGTGGCAGGCGGGGGTGTGGAAGGGAGGGTCATGGGGGGACAGGCCACACAGCTGCTTTTTAGAGGCAAAATGAGAAGCGTTTGCTGCTTACTGACAACTTGGCAGGAGCTTGAGAAGACAAGTGGGGCTTCTGAGACCGCTGCTTATATGGTGTTCTAGAACAAGTGCTAGGGGTGAGCTTGGCCCAGGGGAGGGACGCCCTTGGTGGGGTCCAGCCCCTGTTCCGAGTTGGCCTGCAAATGTCTCCAGGCAGACTGAGGGTGGTCCCATAAACAGGGCTGCTCACTTGGCATTATTTGATGGCTCTGGGGAGGAGTCCATGACCTCCCTTCCCTTCCTCTCCTGCGGACGTGCCACAGAAGACACCCACATCCATCTGGTCTAGGAAGAGAAAGGCCCGGGCAGTGCCATTGCCCCAGCTGGGAACCGAGCCCTGGCATGTTATGGTTCCGTTTACTGACCGAGGCAGTCTTCCTTTATCCCAAGTGGCTGTGCTACTGGGCAAAGTGCCTTCCAAGCTCAGGGGTCTGAGTGTCTCGTGGAGAAAAGTGATTTCTCATACTGTCGCCCACAGCAGTTCCCCAGAGAGGCTCCTGACACTTGATTATATCTCAAATCAAGGGAGATTTGTCAAGAGACAAACAGCTGCAAAGACACGTGTCAAGACAGCAATGGCACCACCAACAGACAAGCGCCCATGACCTGCACAAGCTGGTCTCTGCCCAGGCACTTGATTCCCCGAGGTTCCCGGGTGGAACCACTGTAGTGCTGCAGGGAGCTGCCTCTGAGGGCCCCAGGACCCCCAGGTGGGGAGGGATCTCTTCTAACTGCAGGGGCCTTGGAGACAGTCCACCCGCAGTGACCGGGGCTGCCCTGTGGGAGCAGCGGAGGCAAAACAGCATCACATCAAGAGTGGTCGGGCAGCTCACTGCCGGGAAACAGCAGCAGTGAATTTTCTAAAGCTCTTGGACAGCTGATTCCCTCTGAGTTAGATTCTGGGGCAGGAGAGGGTAGAAAGGGGCAAGGGTTGTTGGAAGTCATCCTCTAGGACCCTGGGCCTGCTGGAACCACTGACTCAAGTCTGGGACTCGATCTGTGGGGGCCTTTATTTGCCATCAGCTACCTCCTTTCCCTTCCCCAAGCTTCCACTTGAAGACGAATGAGTGTTTCACCCGCCAGATGCAGAGAAGAACTGGTTGCACTCAACAGCGCTACTAAAGTCACTAACTGTCATTATCCAGCAGTCATCCCCCGGAGCCTGACAAGGGAATCCATCACACTACGAAAGCAAGTGTGTCCCTCCACCTGGGCCCCTTACGCCCGTCCTCGTGGGCCAGGGGAGAACAGAAAAGACCTCAGCTTTTGGGTCAGGGCTTAGCAAGCTCCTTCTTACCACTTACATGGTAAATACAGCACGGGCCAGGTTTTCAGGGCTGCAGACCTGGCTGCAGGGACTGCCAGAGCCAGGGTATCAGAGTTAGGCCAGGCAGGTGAGGATGGAGAACATCCTTCTCCAGATCCTGCTCACCTAGAAAACTGGAGATCACCAGCGCTTGAAAATACTTCACAGAAGTAGAGAAAAAGGAGGAGGACAGTCTGTTTCTTCTCTCTGCTGAACCCAACTTCTAGACACAACCCTGCTAGCAACCCCTGCTACCCCAACATCTGTCCACGATGCTCAAGTGACCCTTGTGCTCTAAGTAACAAGTTTTCCTTTCTTCCCAGTGGTCATGTTAACTTACCCCGGGGCTTTGGAACTGGGATGAAATGGGACAGCATCCTGTTGTGATCAGAACCCGTGGATGGGGCCACCAGGAATTCTGCCCCATCCAAGTCCCCAGACAGTGCACTCCTGTGGGGCCTCATCAGTGCCTCAGAACTGACCTTGGTCCTGTTTTTGTGTCCTTATGAGGATGGACCGAGAGCAGGAAGAGGGTACTGGCTTGGTGAAAACATGGCCCTCATGGTGGAGTGGGAGCCTCACAGCACCCTGAGCTCCCTGGCTGGGGCTGCATGGAAAGGCGGGCCAGCTGCCCGACCAGAGAGTCCCTTCCAACCGTGGATACCAGGGCTCCCGTGTGTTCAGTGGCTCTTCACACTGCGGACTGGAGAGGCCAGAAGTCATTTGGGTGGAAGCTATCCTCAGCACACCCTCACCTAGTCCAGGTCCTGCAGGGAACCAGGGCAGTGGACACCCGGTCCTGAGGAGGGGAAGGGGCAACTGGGGTGGGAAAGAAGGGCGGGGACAACAGGAAGGCTCCTCTGGAACCTCTGTGCCAGGGGGCAGGGCAGCTCCCGGTGCCTGAACATACGCACTGGATCCAGGCCTTCTTTCTGAACAGCATAGGTCTTCTCTGCTTTTACTATTATTTTAAAATGGTAGGGGGATTTTACGCTTTTATCCCTACCCCTGCCCCTTTTTGAGATAGGCTCTTGCTAAGTTGCTCAAGTGGCCTCAAACTTGCAATCCTCTTGCCTTAGCCTCCTGAGTGCTGTGACTACAGGTGTGTATTGTGCCACAATACCCCGTCGGCCTCCTTTGCTTTCAGATACAACAAAATTAGTGTCCAACAGGCGCCCAGGGCACACGCTGGCCGATGGAGATGCAGGAACCCCACACCCTCTTGTCCTCGGGCCAGTTACGTAAGTTCCCTCAGGTGGCTGACTACATGGTATGTTAGAAATTAACAAATGCCCTATGACTAACCTGGTTTAAGGGGAAGAGACCCTCTTCTGCAGCTGAGGACGACAGTGCTCTTACTCAGCATGTACTGGTCAGTTAGAACCTGCTGTGGATGGTACCTTTTCACGCCTGGTGGTCCAGGACCTGGGAGGCAGTGAGTGGCTGCCGCCACAGCCCACTGGGTTTTATAGCTGTGCTGCACGGTGGACCCCAGAGAAGGGAGAATGCTGTTGCTCCGGTGCCCTCCAGGGCGCATGGCCCAACCCAGGCCAACCTGTGGGCTGGTGGGAAGCCAGCACGGAGTATGAAGGAGCCCGGCCGCAGAATCAGCAGACAGGATTCCAGCCCAGCTCCATCTATGCAACATGACCTTGAAAAAGCCACTTTTCTTTTTTTTTGGTACTGTTTCCCCACCAGGAAAGGGCAGGCAAAGCACCTTGCCTCAGCCCCTGCCCTCTGGGAAGGTTGGAGGACCAGGCAGGACATGTCAGCAATACCCAGCCAGCCGTGCTGGGAGCCTGCTCAGCCTCTTGGAAGAGGCGGAGGAAGGGACACGGGCAGAAGGACGAGAACAGCGACGTTTGTCACTCACCGATCCATCTCATCAAAGAGGTCAGGATCTGTAGGTACTTGGTCTTCTGGACGTCAAAGAACGTGAATGGTCCCAGAAGGAGTGTGAAGACAGCCTGGGTGAGGAAAAGAGCGGTGAGAGAACACAGCAGTGGCTGCACACAGCACGGAGCTGTGTGGCAAACAGTTCATGCACACAGCCCTTGTCCATAGGAAAGGAGGCCCAGTGCCAACCCCAGGGCACACCTGGCCGGGCAGAGGCTCCCTGGGTCCAGCTGCATCACCATGGCTAAGTGCCAAGTACCAGAGTGGGACGGGACATCCAGAGCCCCTGCTCTCTGCCACAGTTCATGCTTACTGTTCAGATGCTACTGCACTTCCTGGGCAAGGACGCCACCCCCTCTACTCTGGTCTCTGACAGGCACTGGGGCCAGCACAGCGCTGGCTGTGAGTACAGACTAGGTACAAAACGGCAACAAGATGAGGATCCAGGAGGAACACCAGATATGCCCTCGCCACTACTGGGAGGAAGGGACATGGTGGAGAGGGCAGACGGGGACTCTGCTAAGACAGCTCAGGAGAGAGGATGCCCCTCCTGAAGGGCTTGGGGAAAAGCATTCATCAGGAAGCCACGCATCAGTCACCTCCTCCGCTCAGTTGGAAGGGGAAGCCTGGAGAGCAGCAGCCAGAGACTTCCAGGGTGACTCACTCAGAGGCCTGTCCTGGATTAAGGTGAAAAGGTGCCACACCTAGAAAGAGCGGGAGTGGTGAAGCCTGGGAGAAGGGTGGGAGCCAGGCAGGGAGCTGGGTGCAGCCCTCTGGTCCTTCTCAGTTCACTGCTCTTAAAAGAACAGAGGAAAGTGTTTGCTTAAAAAAGGCAGCAAAACTGTCTTAGAAAACGGGTCTGCAGGACCCTCTCTGCAGAACCTATCAGAGTACAGGCATGACACAGTCAATAGAGAGAGGAGTCGGGGCAGGCTTTCCATGCCAAATTGATTGCTCAGGGAGCAGAGGAATTAAAAGCTGCTTGCTGGTGTTAAGGCGATGGTACCATTTCCAATCTGCTACTCGGATGCAGGCAAGGCATCAGACCTTATTAACATTTACACTGTGCCATTTTATCACGTTAAAGCTAATGACACTCACCAGAGATGCGGCAGACGGCACAGAAGCCTGGAGGTGGGGAGAGGGGCCCACTGTGGGGAGGCAGGATCTGGCCTTGTGCTTTGGGTAAATTCATCACAGCTGCCGAGCCTGGGGCCAGTCCCGTGACAGGCAGGCAGGCGGGAGCTCCGCAGAAGGGGGTGAGCCGGCCCTGCCCCCACCACAAGGAGAGCAGGATGTGGGAGAAGCTGTGACCTCTTATCCAAGTCCATTATCACTGTGAGATGAGTGACAGAAGGACTCAAGTGCCGCTTAAGGATAAGGCTCTAATTAGCTGGGGTGGGTAAAGGCGTCCGGCAGCCACTAGGGCCAGGAGATTTCTGGAAAGAGCTTTCTGCTGAGGTCCTTGGAAAAAGCCCTCCTTCCATTTAGAATAGGGGGAAAGGGAAGCATTTCCCTTAGGCTGGGGTGACAGGGAAAGGCTAAAGCCAGGGCAGGCCCTCTACAGTCTCTCAGGCCAAGGGAGCAGAGCCGGGACGCAGTAGCTAGCACACAAGCAACCACCACCTCTGGCTGAACCAGTCTGTATGCAGCACCATCAGTAAGTCATTTAGGAAAATTACCACTTCAGGGGAAGTTTCCACTGATGAATTTCTCTTTTGAAGGATGGAGAAGGGGATGTCAGGTGGAAGGGTAAATACAAAGTCACTTGCCACAAATATTTCCAGACGACTGTGGTGGCCCCTGGAAACTGGACTCCTGTTATGCTCAGGGGTTTGGGTGGTTCACCTCTGACCTGTGAGCCATCTGAAAGCTAGCTCCGGCGGGGGGCAGAACTCTTGCTGGGTGGGCTATGCAGGAGTCAGGGAAACCTAGTCATGACTGGTCTCTAGAGGATTCCATGATAGAAAAAGGGGCAGGAGTAGCAGGACTGCCCCCAAGGTCAGCAGAGAATCCTGCAGCTGCAGACACCAAGTACAGCGTCTAGGGGTGCTTATTAGATGCCTGGTCTATCTTCACCCTCCTCTTCCTCAGTGCATACTTGTCAAAATCCCAGAACAAGGAGACCCCACTGTGTAGAAGCTAGAGGGAGGGAATCCTGGCTGCTGAGGGCGTTCCTGAGTAAGAGGCCAGGCACACACTCCTCTAAGAGATGCTGATCAAGAGACAGGGAACTGGCATCTAGAGTCTGAACGAAGGTCCACCCTCATTCAGCGTTCTCGCACGCAGTCCTGGGGACAGCAGGTGGCAAAGGGCTCTTTGGAAGATCTGACCAGCTGCGGTGACACCCACAACTAGACGGCTGCTGGGATGTTTCCTCTTCACACTGAGGAGCACAGACTGGCCACACCACGCAGGGTCCACAGAGTCACAGCCACAGACAGACTGCCAAACAGCAGCCTCGCGCCAGCTGCGAGCTCGCACGTCCGCGGCAGCCCAGATGAAGACGCAGACCTAGGGCTGGGGCTAATTAAGGAACAGGTGTCCTCTGCAAATGAGCTGGAGCCAGAGCTCAGCAAGCTTGGGAGCGGGCATCAGAGTGACAGAGCACAAAGGACAGGGGTGGCAGTGGCTGCCGAGGTCTTTGGGCAGAAACGGGCCTGGGCTGATGGACAGGCCCCAGTCTCCTGATGGTCTGGCGGGGCAGGTCCATCTCTGAATGCTCATCAGCCAGATGTGGCACTCCGTGTTTTCTTTTTCCTTCTTAAAAAAGATGAAATAAAAAGCCAAGAGACAGCCTATCCTCTTGGGTCTTCCAGTCTAGCCCATGTGACGTTATAAATTAGCTGGCTTTGGAACAATTTTCCAGCCCCCAAACGCCACTGATCAGTTCAAATTCAGTCTCTGTTCAAGGACTCTTGTCACCCAGCTCATTACAGGAGGCAGGGACACCGGTCGCTGCAGCCAAATGTGTTTTTAAAAAAAGAACGACGGACTCTTTGATTTCTAATGAAATCTTCAAACCAGACTCTGGAAGTCAAGTCTGGGACAGACCTGGGGAAATGGAAATGGGGCCACTCAAGCCTCTCTCTCTTTCTGGGCCAGTGAGTTTAGCTGTGCACCAAAGGCCCCACGGCTGCCTTGCCAGAGGTTTGATGGACACCGGGCAGCTCATGTTCCCAAGGCGCTGCAGGCAGTGCTCGGCTATCGGGTCCAGCTCACAGGGCTGGCTGCCCCCCTTGGTTCTCCATGTAGAGGAAAGGGACCGTCCTCTCCAGCTGCTCAGGCTGTGAGGTGCCGGCCATCTCCGATTCCTTCCTTACTCTCCTTACTTTCTGTGGCTGCTATAACAAATATCACAAACTGAGTGGCTTCAGATCCCAGAATTTAGCCAGGCGTGGTGGTGCCTGTAACCCTGGCACTTAGGAGGCTGAGGCGGAAGGATCACTGCAAGTTCGAGGCAAGCCTGGGCTACACAGAGAGTTCAAGGCCAGGCTGCACTATACAGTGAGATTTTATTTCAACAAACAAACAATCTAACTAACTAACTAACTAACCAATCAACCCCAGAATTTACTCTCTCCAAGGCCAGAAGTCCTGAAGCCAGCAGGGCAAGGATCCCAACAGCAGCATACCCTCCCCGCCCCCCACCCCATGGAGGTACATCCTACACACGCACTGAGGACGGAGCTGGCAGTAGCTGCATTTCTCCAGCTTCTGCCAGGACTGAGACCAGCAGACACAGCAGAGGCCAGAAATCTCCTCATCTGCAACTCAGCCTCTGTCTGTGAGACAGGAGGGACACCCAGCCTTCAGAACCAGGGACCGAAAGGGGCTGGAGTGGGCTGAGTACGCTGATTCCTTGGATAGCATTGGCTTTGCTGAGACCCAGAAGCACCGAGGCTCTCGCTTGCTTGAGAGGGTGGCATCTGGGTATGGGAGACTCAGCCACTTACCCCAGCCTCCACTATTCTCTTGGAGTGGTTTGGACTTAGATGCTCAGTTCTGGAATGGGAGAAAGAAATGCTGTGCTCCTTTGGAGAGCAGACCTTCAAATCTAGAACTCCTGCCACAGGTCTGCTGATCTGGTCTGTGCCACTCACAGAAGGAAGGCTCCAGCTCAACTCAATCCTGCTTGTCTACAAAATGTGCCCAGCACTGGTGACATGTGGAACCACGAATGAGGAATGAGGAACCACGAATAAGTATGGACATGAGAACAGAGAATAAAGCAGCTTGACACTTAACTCCTTGTCCCCCAACTTTTCTGCATATTTAGCTAGTCAGAAAAAAAAATGGAAATTTAAATTTGGTGCCAATACCAAGTTAAACACCCCAGTTTAGGAGGCTGCAAAGTCTCCGGGTGCCATCAACCACTCTCGACCCTGCCATCCCCCCAGCTGTTGGCATTTTGCACTGCCCCATCCTATCAAAGTTGTCCTGTGATAACACTGCCACGCAAGGCCACGGGGCCTTTTGCATCCACAAAACCCTCACAGACAGATTCAGTTGGTTCTTGTGCCCATCTGCATGGTGACTAGGGCAGGTGACGATGCCATCCAGTTACTGATGAGGCAGATATTGGAGAGCTAGTGCCAGAGCAAAAAAGCAGCAGCACAACAGATGGTTCTTGACCCCAACCTTCTTTTCAGTTCCAGCCCTGCACAACGCATCTGTCCTGTTAGGTAGGCCATCTCCCTCTGACACTTCCTGCCCCCGAGTCAAGCTAATTCCCACTCTCATGCCTTTACCCTCCTGACTACTCCTCTGCCAGGAGGAGTCTCTTATTTTGTTGCAGAAGGTAACTGGTGTGTCTCATTTTGTTCCGGGGGTTGGCTTGGATACGTCGTTACTCAGAGAGGTCTGAGGACGTTTGTTCTGCATTGTGGCCAGCACTTCAGCATGGCAATGCATTCTCTCTCATCTTCCCTTTTATTCCCTTTATCCCGTCTTCCTTTCCCTCTTTATTTTTCTTAGCCCCTACCTTCCACAGCCTGCTCAAGAACCGACTCATCTGTAGTTATTTTAGTCCTCCCTGGAGGCTCTTGACTGAAATACCAAGTAGATAGTC